GAGTAAATGATTATTAGCGCTGCTGAGTTTAAGTCTTTCATTTGTTAAGCAAATTTTGCTTGTAGGAATCATAGAAGCACGCTTATGTAGGTGGGGCAAAAAATCTATCTTTGCTTTTCGTTCTTTGAAGACTTCTGTTTAGTAGCTTTTGATGTTTGAAAAGAATTTGATCTTGGTCGTTGTATTCTTTTTGACATCTGTTACTACTGCTTCGTCCAGAGTTTATAAGAAAATGGTGATGGTGGGCCAATAAGAGATTTTTTTAGTGAAGTATCGGGGAAAAATTCAGAATTATCTCGTCTACGGTTACCCATTAAAGACTAGTTTATTTTAACTATGATGCATCCTAGATGTTCTTTTTATGCTGTCCTATAAAGTATTTGCTTAGTCATCTTGCTTGGTCATCTAATACAGTTTAGTTGATTCATCAACAGTAAGCGCATGATTGTAACCAAGAATATGTCAAAGAATTTCTGAGTTGCTTAAGTGCCGTTTACGCACAAAATTCTTACTTGAACAAATCGAGTCGATGACGAAGAGGAAAAAACCGCATTATTTGAAGCATAGAAACATTAAACATTTTTTCACCGGTCAGTCACGTTACGAAGAAAACATTTTGAAGCGTCGGGTTTGCTTGAGAAAAAAAAACTTGAGCGTTATCAGGGGCGAGACGACAGTGGTTTTTGTTGATCTAAAATGTTTTTTGTACGCAATAGGACCAGGCAACTAAAACCTCTGAAATGTCGTTGTATATTACCAAAGACGAATAAAGTTGTTTGATTTCACCTGTTATTTTCCTTGTAAACGCAGCAGGAGAAGGGCAACTTATTGTTACTCTGCTGCGATGGTAATAAAAAGGATTTTTTAGAATTTTTTCAGCTGCAATTCTTCAACAGCCGAGTTTTGCCTATCACTTGCTAATGACGCTTCTTCTTTTCGCATTTCATTGCCTTGTAGCTTCTACTGATAACAATCTGATATTTCTTTTTGGATTGGAGTCGAAGGTCAGAAGTAAAATTTAATAGGCTCAGTCTTTCAAAGCTGAACAGTCGGAATCTAGTTCTTTCTTTTACTGCCGTACCGATAGAGTTGACTGCTTTCAATTTCTGGCTAATAATCTGTAGCAGTCGTCAATTAAACTTCAAGTTTTTATAATTCTTTGCAAATTACTTGTAGACACTATTGGCGAAGAGACATTGTCAACTGCGGATAGTTTTTTGTAATTTCAGTGTTTTTTTTATTTTATTTTGAAAGTTGTGATAGTTCAATCATTATACTTCTGTTTCTTATTGCTCAGAATTTTCCCCTGTGTGTAGTCATTCTTGATAAGTATTGGATAATGTGATTGGACTTAAACGGTAGTTTTTTTTTTTTTGATAAAAGAAAACCTTGAAGGGGAAGTGGTACAATTCAAAAAGAGGACCATTTTTTAGTGTTTTACCAGTATCAGTGATGTGCACATTTTTCTCTTTTAAAGTCGGTGGTATCGGCAAAAAGGAGTCTTTTATAATTTGACAGGCTATAAGAGGGAAAAAAGGTAGTTGTGAATTATTAGAACGTATTATAAGTGGTATTGAGAACATCAAATGTTTAGCGTCCAAATCCAGTATTTTTGTGCAGCAGGTTATTAGAATATTTCTTTACTTGATTTAAGTTAATATTATATTTTGGTAATTGTTAGCTATTTTCCACCCGAGAATCAAAACTTTTTTGGTAGTTTTATTTGCTACTGTTTAGAAAGTTTGCGATTCAAAATCATACTTAATTTCTTCAAAAAGTGTGTTTATTACAGTATAGCTAGAACAAAGGATGATTCCTTTGTTGTTTCTGTGGAAAGGTGGGAATGTTTGCAAAAGTGCTCAAAAGGTTGAAAACGGATGTTAAGAATCTATTTAAATTTTATCTGTTTTGAAATTTTTAGAAACTGTTGCAAATAATTCGAAACGTTGAGTCATCAACATCTTTAAATTTAAATGTACACCATTGTTGTATTTGTATTCTTTCGTTATTCCTAATCAATATGTACGTACGTTATGTAATACTTTTGCTGCATTCTCTAACATTTTTTATTATCATTGGACTATGAAAACTTATCTAGTCAATAATAATGATATTGTGAATACTTAGGAAGGAACTGGTCGGGTTAGCTGTAGTTGTGCTTGCAGTTCAAATGCAAAAGGATATTTTGACGCATTCTCGGATTCAAAGTTTCAATTTTGTCAATTTCGTTATTTCTATTGCCACTGCTTAGCAGTCTGATATTTATAAAGTTTTACTCGATCCACTTTTTTTCACCAGATAGTGCTATGATCGTTACTGATTTCTATTAAAAATACTGAGGTCTATTTCGGCAACTCTGAAAAAAAGTTGGTCTAATAATTCTCATTTCTAACTTTTTAAAACACAACCATTTTCTTTTATTGATTTATGCTAGTTTTAAAGGTACCTTTTAGTTACAGTTTATTTCGTTTTCTTTTCTTTCCTATCTGATTACGGGTAAGCACGTTAAAGAACTTTGCTTCTAACGCACTATGGTGTCTGTTTTACTAATGTCTTGCAAAAATCGATCACTTTAAAAAAGTTTATCGCCAGTTTGGGCATTGATAATGGACGTAATCAGTGGAAATACAGTGCCTTTCTAACGTTTCAATCTGTTTGGTGGCTGTTAAATGAAGAAGTAAAGTTCTACTTTATTTTCTTTCATTATTAGTTTTTACTAAGGGGAATCTTCTGCATTTTTATAGTTTGGCTAAATATTTTGATGGTAGAGTTAGGTGTTTTTTGGCAAGCTGCTTGTAGTTTTACATTTGGGTCATTAATGGTTCTTGGTTGTGTACTACTTTCGTTGAATTTCTGATTTAAACCTTCCGGGGTTCTGTTGCAAACATTTGCCGTCATTTTGCCCCAAAGTGCATTTCTTGTTTAATCTTTGTTATCATCTAAAAACTGTTAAGTTTTTGAGTGATTTTTTCCTCGCTATTAGTTCTAGTACGTCTCCAAGTCATCATTTGTATTATGCTGCTCCTGAATTTTTTTGATTTGTTATAATTCCTGAGGTTGATACTCCACTAACAGCGGCTCACTTCTGTTTTTTGGGCAGATATCACTGCGATAGACTTACTTAGCTGTCATAGTCGACACATAAGTTTGAAGCATTTAATCTGCATTCAGTATGTGATAAACACTTATTTCTTATTTACAATTCTTGAAACTAGTGAGAGAAAAGACAGTAAAATTATGCTGTACCATATACGTGATTCAAAGAGCGTTGAGATTTGTAGTTTCTCAGTGCAGTTGTCAATTGTTATACCTGAATGTCAACAAATACATCTAAATTTAAAGCTTATGTTTTACTGATAGGATTAGTAAATCTCTTAACTTCGTGTCTGGTAGTCAGTTGGTTTCGGTTTCACGAAAATCTCTTAAAAGCAGTATTTTACGCATTTTGCTAGTTCTTAGGCAAAAGGTGGTAGTCAAAATACACTGTTCTACGACCAATCGAAGATGAGAAAAGTTTATTTCAGTGGTTGTGTTTCTATGAAAAATGTGAATCTGACATTTTTTTGCACTTACTACCGTTCCCAAACCTGTAAAAAAGCTCATGACTGTGTTTTGCTATGAAAATATTACCGTTGTGATTTTCTTATGGATAGCTGATAAGCTTGAATGATGAAAACTGTGAATTATGACTCATCAAACTGGTTATTTTAAGATCGAAATGATTGGTAAGCCTTGTTTTATAATCATGCAATGTAGAAGCAAGGGCTTTGTCGCAACGCTTGTAGAGCAAATACATTCCTTAGTCAGCTATGTAATCATTGATTGTAGTATGATTCGTCTTCGAACTATTTGAGTCTGACTTTGTTCATACTCAATAATGATCATATTTCCTCTTCTAAACCTTCACTTTCTTGACCTCTGAAATCCTCTGATGACATTTTCTCTTGCGGCTGCAAAAACTTTCCTCTAAATCTTTCTTGAAATCTAGTGAGCTATCAATTTTCACGTAGATCAATTAATTTTCCTCACTACTTAGATATCACTTATCACTTTGCTAATTTTGATCTTCGATTTAAAATTGCCAAATACGTACTTGTCCGCAAATTGCTCCCTGGATAATCTCTACGGTGTGTCGTCGCAGAGGACTAAAGCAGAAAAAGAAAGTTGGCTAATTTACGGGTGGGTGGAAAGATGGCCATAAAAAGTTCCATTGTTATCAAGTGCTTCTTGCTAGCGAAAAAAACTAAGTAGTCTTTGAAGAATAGGTATTGTTTTGTTATTTGAAAATTCAACTTGTTTTTCTCCTGACGATTACCTGATGTGTATAATGTTTACAAAAAACTTTTATAAAGAACAGATATTCCTATCAGGCATTCAAGCTTTCAGATCTCAGTCATGGAAACGCAAGTTTTATTAGCGATTGTAGTTACATTTTTACAGCAAAAATTATCAGAACAACAGTACGTCCAACAGCCATACCATATAGTGAGTTCCGAGTTTTTATTTTGGTCCACTGGTATATAGTATATATAGTATATCTCTAAATGAAATGTTTCAATCGCACTTAACTTTCCTTTTTTTACTTTAAACAGTGTAACTCTTGCATCTTCCCGTATTTTAACAAATAGCCGTCATTCGTCGGGTATAATTTTATCTACCTCTCGGTAGTGACTTTTTAAAGAGCACTCTGCAATACTTAAAACATGAAGCGTCGTTGAGTTTTTTAGGCAATTTGCGCAAAGGAAGTTTATTCAATAAAAAAATAATTTACTGCTCATGAGAACTTTGCATGAGAAGTCTTGATTTCGAATAAAATTCACATCTGACAACCTCCGCTTCATAAAAATGAGTTGCTTCAGCATAGGCGTGTTCGTATTTTCAAATGAACATTAAGATTTAATGATAACGCCTTCGGGCAATTCACAGTACAGAAAGAACATGACGACGAAATAAGTAGGAAGAGCAGAATAAGGGTAGCAAAAGGTACAAAAACTTTTTTGATGAATTTGGTAATTGTGGGATAAATTTGTTTTCTTTCAGAAAAAATTTCATTCTCCCTTCCCCGTTACCAAGACCTAAACAGTAATCAATAAAACTTTGTTATCAGATATCTTAGATTAAAAAAGGAAATTTATTTGAGAAAGAGTTATTAATCTTATTCTCTCTTAGGTTAACGGTCAGTATCAGAACGAAGCAGTAGGATCAGGACCAACAAATAGTTTAAATGGTTACGGAGGTTATTTTTTGGTAAGCTTTTATCTATTACCAAATAAATACTAGCTTATTTTCCCCGATACTAACAGTTGAGTCGCTTCAGAGCTCTACAGCTGCTAGCCCAAACGTCTCAAGTAGAGGTAATGTAATTGTGGCTGTACGGTTGTCTGCATATCAGAATTGGCAGCATCGGTTAGCGGAAGACGGTCTTTACTGCAAGTGCTTGCGCAACTGCGAAAGATTCAATACAGGCATTCCTCAGTGCAAGCTTCTTTTTGTGGTCACTCTTGGAGCGCTCGAGTAAGTAGCCTATCTAGAAGATCCCTAGTAGTCTACGACTGAGAAACTCATATTACTTCTCATTAATCTCGCTACGGATTGGGTTTTATATTTTAAGTGGTTCTGCGGACTCTCTTGCAAGCAATGTGTACGTGCTTAATACCGATACTGGAAGGATTTCGGCATCAGACGATCAAACTTTGACCCAAAATGTCTTCAGAAGCGAAATGCTGATGCGGCTCAATAGCAGACCTGTAAGAAATATTTCCTCTTCGCTCACAATTAGAAATAAGAATGCAGGTACATTGTGCGGAAAAAACCAAGTAAATTGATCTTACGTTGGTTTTATTAGATGCCAGTTGAGAATGATTTGCTTGGGATGGTTGATTATCGTGTAACGAATGTAGCATTTGCTTTGGTTTGGGCGGAGCTGGAGTGAAACGTTTTCTCAATAGTAATTGTTCATTTTCGGTACAGTGCTATTTAACCACTGTTTTAAGAGAGTCATAAAAGTATATGTCTACCACATTGGCAAAGTTCTGGACGGCAACGGCGGGACAAAGAAAGAGGAAGCAGTTGCACTTGCTAACATCTTCACTGTTATAGTTCCAGAAACTGTAACATTAGCGGCACAAACGGCTAATGTCACTGATGCTAGTGGAGCGTCAAGGTCAGCTAAAAACAAATCATTTAAAAACATTCCATAAAGCTGAAGCCAAACTTGTCTCAATTTTGATAAATCACTCAAAGTTAAAAATACGTTGTCCTTCCCCTTGTTCTATTTAATTCACAGTAATGCTCACTCTACAAAAGTGCTCTTCTGTACTTTCCTTGCGTGAGACTTAAATTTGCATCGCGAAATTTAAGTAACGCACCTTATAAATACCATTATAGCTTATCACTGAGTTACTCCGTCCGGTGCTCTGGAACACTTTTGGGGTCAAATTGTGATTTGGTCTGTAACAGGTCCCAGACAGACAACACTTTTGCGCTCTGCAGGTCCAATACTACTGGATACCTCTCACTTTGCAGATACTCTACCCAGGACCAGGTTGCTCTTAAAAGAATACCCTCACTATGCGGCTCCTTAAAGACTAGGACTGACGATTTATAATTTACTACAGCAGGATACAAAAAAAAGTACCAGTACTTCATATTGCAGTTATCTAGTTGTCAGTCTTGCCCGTGGGGATTTAGAGACGAACTGTACTGCAGAGATGCCGAAGGCGGTGTCTTAAAACCTCATACAGCAGTAAGTAAAAACCCTTGAATCCAACATTATTCCAAGCATTCATTTGAAAGAGAAATACAAAAAATTCATTCTTTAGCAATTAGTACCAACCAGTTTTCGTACAGCAACAATCGTTCTTTCTTGCATTGCTGCGATTTTGCTTCTGCTTCTTCTGATGGTAACAGTCTATGCGTGCATTGCGTAAGCGCTTATGATCTTCCTCACTTCATCTTGTTGTACTGTAATATTCTAGTTCCCTTTCATGGCGTGCACTCCGATAATAAATAGTAAATTCCTTTTGCCTTGTGATTTCTTTAAGCGCGAAAAGGCGTCGTGCAGATGAAGAAGATGCTCCGGGACATAACTACCACTCTTCGCTTCGTGCTGAAGGTAATGCAAATCGGCCGCTACTACAAGTAAGGGGTTTTTCACCAGTTCTACGCTGAAAATAGCTACTGCCATTTAAATATCCCATGTCTACTTATAAATTAACATCAATGTTTCTGCTCTTTTAGGCAAGCTACACTGCTCAAACCCCATCAGTGCAAAGCGACTCGTTCCAACGACTTCCCACAGCAGCACCAAGAAACGTGCCTTCGCTTGATGCTGTACCAGCTAGTAAGTTTACTAGACCTTTCTGTCAGCTTATAACTTTAACACTTAGAAAAATATTTTAAATTAGGGAACTTTTTCATGCCTATCTTCCTAGTAGAAACTTAATAAATGGAAGGTACTTCCACCTTAATTATCTTAGGTCAAAGAAATTAGTAGGGGTGAATGTCAGCAATAGGTTAACGCTACCTAATTTTGCACCTACATAGCTCACAAACTCGCAAACCGATTACAAATGAAGTGCACGTGGGTGATGAGGTTTCCACTAAGAGGCACTGCTTCCTGCTCCTCTGCATCAATAAATATTTAAGTGTTCAATTAATAAGAGGAACACAATTCTCAAGCTTAAAGGAAGGGAGTGCATTTTTCAAGAAAATCCTTGCAATGAAAAGTTGAATTGAAGAAGAGGGAAAAATTTTTAAATAATTTTCTTCCAATTGAATAAAACTGAATATAGGTTTCGGTGAAACTCCTCCTTCACTTGCCAAATTATCTGCTAATTAGTTTATTTTTGATAAGAGAAGTTCGCTCCCGTTCCTAACCAAAACTCATTCCACCTACTCTTGCGCACTTCGTTTGCAACCCATCTTTGCGTGGCTTCATCGCTCCTCGTTACGTTGCACCGTTTTAGAATCTTCTCTTCGCAAAACAAATTATATTCCTCCTGCACATGCTGGAGGAGCGTCTTCTATTAATGACACGTTGAACAGCAGCTTTGCAAGCAGTGTTCCTATGCCGCCCAGTCGTGAAGCAGACGTCTAAAACTGCCGCATCTGGAACTTTTTTCCGGTTGAACAGGGACAGCTGCAGCTCAAAACTCGACCCTCCTGACACCACATAGATAATATCAAGGTGGTCCCATCAGCAAAACTTCCAGTTCATAACTGCTTTATTTCCAAATTGATAAGACTATGGCTTAGAACCAATTTAATATTTAGAGTTAATCAAATAATTATGATTCACTTACCAATTAAAATGTTTACCTCTAATTCTAAAATGTGAAACTACTAGTTTGGAGTTTTGGTGGATCTTTTCTATGTGTCTTACACCAGAATAAGTGAAAAATTAAAACGCGTCAAACTTTCAGCATTTGAAAGCAGTATTTAGATTCCCCCAAAGCTCTGAATCCATAAAAAAATCCTTGTACAAAATAATAAAGAACGGTGTTAGAATACCAAAGGTAACAAAAGCGCACCTGTCATTCTTTGGCCCACATCTCTGAACTGGTAGTGCAAACTACAGGGGAAGGGGTGAGGCTGTTTTAATTTCAAGCTCATTTCTTTCTCATTGGTCGTCATCTACAAATTATGGTCACCCACTTCTCTGGAAGAATGAATGGTTAAATGGGATCATGAGTCAAAGAACGAAATTGCGCTCGAATTGCTTTTGCCACAATCAAAATGAACTGCCTCAGTCGAGGTCGTCTTAACTTGTGCAATTTTTCTTACTGGCTCCAATTAGCAGACCTCGGCAGAAGTTGTCGTCCACTATAAATCAAAGTTCTTCTGCTTGATAGTATTCAAAATTTTGTCATACAGACTTCTTCGTTTTCATGTCGTTCTGTCCTTCACTGTATTTATTAATGCACTTGTAGCCTCTGTAAAAACAAAATAAAAAACTACCGGCAAGCAGAAACAAATACAGTGCACGTCCAGCAAGCAATTAATCAACTACCAGAGAAGAAACGCAAATTGATTTCTCTAGCACTGATATTATTCCTCGAATACAACTCACCTGTAAAACCGAGCTCGCCACGAGGTGTTCAGATTTATTTCTTAGGTATCATATCAAAAACAAAGGAAAGCAAAAAGTAGCAAAAACAACAAAAGTAAAAAATATAAATCAGTGACAGATTTACCATTTGCAATGAGATGCAATTAAGATGATTGCTGTTACAGTTTCCCTAAAATAAACCATTTGTTCAAGTCTGTGACTATTCTTGATGTGATAACACAACCCAGTGAGAGTAATATTACAATTACAGCCTACCTTGCATCTCTTAGTCAAAATTCTCCATACAGCATGTCACCACTTCTCAGCAACTTTTCTGGCGTACTAAATTTACAAAGCATAGACAGATAGTGACTGCTAGAAATTGCTCCACCTATTAACTGTAAAGAAAAAAATCATTTGAAAAAATTATAAAATATTTATATGTTAACCTATTAAAATCGAAACATGTGCCACGCTTTCTCTTTCACAATTTCTTCTAAAGAAAAGAACAAATAACAAAAAAGTGGTATTTCAACATTAGACAATTAATACAATAAAAACATTTATAAAGACAATTTCGAATCATTACTGAAGAATTTTTAAACTAAAACATTGAAGTTGATGCAACCCGAAATAAACAAAGTAAAATAATAAAGTGAATCTTCATCAGTGTTAGTCCGCAATCATCAAAGATAACCGAGAAGTGTGAAGCCAAACTGAAAATATTACCAGCAATTACGGCAGAAAACGCATGAGATTGCTAACTTAACATGCTTTGATGAGATAGAGTTTATTGAAAACGGTAGGTTAAAATTTCCATAATGACCCTCCCGCGTTATTTTCTAGATCTAAAATCTAGAGGAAAAATTACAGCAAGAAAACATCCCTCCAACTCCGGTTTGCTGATTTCGTTATCTTCATCACAAGCTTTACACTCAATAATTTTATGAGAACACTCAGTAAACGTTTTCTGCAAAATTTGTACTCAGCAGCACTGTCTAAATGAAACAATTAAATGACAGTCACTTTTAGTTAAGATCCCCATATGACAGCTCATTTACAAATAAAACAAGGCACAGTCTTATAAAATAAAAATTAATTATACGAGCAGCAATGATAGACACAACGATAGCCACATTAAAACTTATAATACTACATGACGCTATTAA